AGATTACGTGAAATAAAAATCGCTAAAATTATTCACAATCAGCTTCTAAAATTTTAATAAAATCATATTAACTCAAATATGAAAGCGTTCATCAGTTCACCAGTACTCGACCCCCCAGTTGACAAAAAAACAGAACGGTCTGCATTAGTCAAAAGGAAATAAGATCGCGTAAACGAAAATCTGGGCTGACGTCGCGTTTCGTCCCATAATTTAGTCGCGAAAACGAGATCGAGGCCACAGAGCGACAAACGCAGCGGAGGATGCGGCTGTGCAAAGAGAACAAAAGAAGATGGCGGACGTTTAGGGACGCGGGAGCCACGGGAGCGCGGAAAATGAAGGGATAGCTCACGTGAGGTGAACGCATGGTGATGCGTGCGAAACAAAAACGGGCACGACGAGTTTCCAGGAAGGTGTAAAAAAGAAAAGTGCAGGAACAACCGAGGCAGAAATAGCTGGTTAATTTTGCATCGGCCCGTGCTATAAACGTATATCATACAGGCTCCGCGTCTGTTCATCGTCTGCCATCCTCTACTTTTTCGTGCTTTCTCGCTCTTTCGCCCGGCTTCTTTCACGTCGCCCTCCTTCCTTGCCTGTTAATGCTTCGGCTTCGTGAAACGCAGCTCACGATCTTTACTGTCCAAACGATTCCAACGGTTGCCATAATTATAACAAACTATACATGGTGTCCCTTTTCAATCTAGAAATGCAATTATCTTCACAACTATCAGTTATTTAACAACCGTTTTAAACGCAATTTCTTCTGTTTCTTGAGAGAGCAGTAATTTGGTAAACTTAGTTTATTTCTAGGTGAATGTGTGTAGGAAATATAAATATTTTTCCAAGTATTATCATCTAGTTTCTTTTGCATCGATTGTTGCGACGGATCATTTATAAAAAAAGGTCGTAAAAAAGGTAGGCCTCGAAACAAAAGAAATTGCAGTTGAAACACTTTTTAAATAACGAATAATCCCAGAAATAATTACATTTATAGATTAAATTAGGACGCTCTGTATACAAAAATATATACTACAATTACACTATAAAATATAGTATATACTGTTATTAATAATGATATTAGTATTAATATTAATTATTATATTGTTAGTAATACTAATATTACTTGCGTACGCTACAGATACTAAATATCCTCAGAGATATCCAAATATGCGCGTAGTAAATAATTAAAATAAATCCCATATCACTTACATTTTTCAAATCGATTCATTTTTCAAATTAATTATACTGCTATCGATGCATCCTTTGAACTTACAGTTTTCCGTTTGAAATAAAGTGTCGCATCAAAACGGAAACATAACCAGCATGCAATAAAATGTTATGGAAGAACCGATGAAAATAATTTAATTATCTCCGTGAATAGGACATTCAAAAACTATTCTACCTTTCTGTTTGCACGATTTTTTCTGGCTTGGGCATGCTTATTGTTACTTTAACGTGACAATAATTTCCAAGGAAAGAAGATTAATCCTGAAAACATGATTGGTCTTTAAACTATCATGTTGCACGTGAAGCAGAGATGGTTTGGCATATCTATTCGATCTGCGAAACGTTTTACACGGAGAGACGCAAAAAGCGACTTGCTCGAAATAAGTGCGTTTCGTTCTCGCGCTTGTTAAAAGACCGACTGAAGTGATACCAGCGAATTTCAGATTACATTTATTTTCTAGAATTCAGCTAGAATCTTTCTGAAACTTTGTATTTTGCAAGTTTTTTTCTTGAGAAAAGTATACGCAAATAAGTACCACATATCTGTATCTTGGAAATATTCCAAGGCGGAAATGCAGTTAAAAACGTATACAGATGTGTAGTTCTAAACGTTACTTTCGCTTTATTAATACACAATGGATGCGCGATGTTTTATGTTGTAGATCACGGTATTTACATAATTACGTGCAGTTTATTTTGATCTATTACCTTCTTGCATTTTTTCGGAACTCGTACAATTTTTGCATTCTGTTAATACGAAGTAAGTGAAACTTTAAGGTAGCGTTAGAGTACAATTCGTGACACGTTCCAGTGTTCGTTCAATGACGATTCGGTAGAGTCTGTACAAGATTTAAAAATTGTAGATTTAGTTTAATTTATACTTACTTTCAATGTTTATAAAAAACAACTTTATTAAAAAAAACTCGCGGTGGTCACATAGCAAAAAAGCAAGGTCCGCAAAAAGGACTTTCTTCAAAGATCGTCTACTAAACGTCCAGAAAAAGTATTATAGAAGAAAAACCCTAGGTGATCTGTAACCGATAATAATCGGTTAGTTTTTGCCTGTTAAGGCAATTTACATCAACGAAGGATTGTGGAAAGAGGAATTTCACAGTATAGAAAAGAGGAATGCGCCATAGATGAGTAAGATCGGTTTGAAGTTCATGGAAAATTTGGGTCGGGCTGACTAATACCATGGACTAATACTAGACTCTGATCTAGAATGAGTTGGCATACAACATAATATCACCTTTCCTTTCCACCGGATCAAATATTGCAAGCAGAATTGTAAAAGAGACATGCGGGACAGTCTAATGCAATCGTCTTACAAAAATTGCCCAAAATTGAAATCACAAAATTCAGAACATCGTCATTGAAAGATTCTATAACCAGCTACCGTTGAAAACAAGGAAGAAACGAGAACCCAGGGAAGAGTTCGGAGTCGAAAACGTGATTCGAAAGCGTGTCGAACACCAGTCGAACCGTGGACAGGACCGTGACCGATTTGACATAATCGAATTACGTGAGTATCCGTCGTAGACCGAGGAAGGAGGCGACGACGACGACGACGACGCTTCGAAATGGACGTTGACGGGCAAAACGTCAACGTGGACGCATTTAGACACACTATTACGTGAAACTCCGACGACTGTCACGTGGACGTCAATATAACGGGTAACGGATCTCATTTCCTCTGTCGTTGAGGTAATTTTGTGGGTCCATTTAAACGAGAAGAGAAACTTCGAAGCGCAGTAACACGTCAATTATGCGATTTTCGATTATTCGAATAATCGGCTATGCGAATGAGTCAATTATCTACTTACATATGTATACATTTAAATGTGTTCAACAATAGCTACACTTCGGAACACGTATTTTTTCTGTCTCAAACGTCCTATTTTTGTATTCTGTCTGATTTTAATACGAGACTTCAAATCCCTCTTAGCTGGAGAGCTAAAATTAAATGATGGTGCTGAAATTAGAAGATATACTAAATATTATTAAACGAATAAAAATGTGCAAGTACGTACATTTGAAAACTGTTTAACCCTTCGAACATTGGTATCAAGCTATTATGTAGTCATTCCATTCTGTCGAATTTTCATCTTTATAACAACCTATAGCGTATATTTTGAATAAAAATTATATCATAACAATATTCCGACATTCTATGCAGTAGCTTTAATGTTTAAATATGGAACTTAAAGAAATTTTATGTTGTCATATCGGTCACGTGTATATACATACGGAATACATTCTTCGAGTCCAAAAAGTTAACCTTCGGTTAATTTACGATACATTCGCAAATTCGATGCTTCCGTAGCGATTATTCGAAAAATCGCTTATCCGAACGAATTTGTCTGCTAGTTAGATCGAACAATCAACGTTATACGGTACTTTTAAACTTTATTTTATTAAGGGAGTATTTTCAATTGAAATTAAAAAAAATATGTACTCTTGCAATTGCTGATTAATTGGAAATATTCGATACATAGTTTCCCTATTCATAAAACAATCTGTCGAGTATATATAAACGATATAAAAACTTTAAACACGTTTTTTTGGAAACCATGTTTTCGGATTACGGTTGACATAATATTTCAAAATCCAGTTGTTCGATTAATTTGAAATTTGAATAGGTTTTTCAGCAGACTTGTCGCTATATCCGGTACCTCAATCATTAAAACATGTTAATTTTATATAATTTGTTCTTATACTAAAAGTAAGAAAAAAGTCTAAAAACCGCAACTTGTACCTTAAACTGCCGCCATTTTTTGTATACAATACCATATTTTAATCTTTTTAGTAAGAGCTATAACCACATTCACACTAAATATAATCAAACTTCGTTTCTTTTGTTTCTGTTCACTACAACAGCCGGAATCATATCAACCATTAAGAGATGATTTTTAATAATGACTTTCTTTAACAACGTGTAACTCCTAAACTGTTACGTATTATGACTTTAAAAAAATGTATGACATAGTTCAAATGTTAGTAAATACACGTATAAAAAATCAACACAAAATATCGTCCAGATTTTACAAAAAAAATTCCCAAAATAATTCTATAAACTGCCAATCCAAATAAAAATAGCTCCTTAAACAATTTTGTATACTGAATTTGGACAGAGCTTCGAACTGGGTCAGATTTACTTTTGGAACTACCTTCCCACTAACCTTCAGTCGATATTTGAGGACGTTGATTGTAGTGAAGTGTAGGTTAAGGAATTTTAGAGAAACTGAGGTGCTACAGTGATTTCGAATTGTCGGGACTCGAAGATAAGTCTCATCGAAGCCACCGTTTTGGGTCTGTTAGTTTACTCGGTCCTCGTCACCGCAGTTCCGCGAGTTTGAAGGAAAATAATTTTCCGGATGTATACATTTGATAGGGTTGACTTTAGTCAACAATTGAGCATTTTGGAAAATGGTGAGAGTGAATTACCTAGCACAACATCCCTTCCGCGTCGCGTTTTACGATTTATTTACGGGCAGCTCGATTTGATTATTTTCTTTTCTGCGCGTTTTCTTCTTTCCACGTCCATCGTGGACGTTCTCCGTGAGCCGCGAGGGGATGGCCCAAGGAAAAATAAATGAGGCAGCAAATCAAAGGGGGCTCTCGTTTGTGCCCCCCACCCCGCGCGCCCTTCACCCCTTACCGTCGAGCTCGATCCTCTTTTTTTCCGTTAGCCCTCTCTCAGGCGGCGCTGCTTTGAACGGCTTTGTGAAATGCCGCGGAACCGGCCATCGTTCATCTCTTTCCTTCTTTGTTTTCAGACGTACCCAGCGAGCAATCTGTTTTCGTCATGCTCAACAACGAGGAGAGCGAGCTGAGATTCCTGAACATCGCGAACCCGAAGGTGAGCAGCCGTTACTCGCAGCGCGAAGCGAATCGTGCCACTTAACACGTTGAATGCCACGCGGGTCACCGATGATCCTTAACCAAATCAGATTACTATAATTCACTCCATTAAACACTGACTATTTGAAAACTTTCCCGTATTATAAATAATGTTACTCGATGCGAATACATTTAGCAAGATAAATGTGCAGTAATGATAATGCAATTCAATTACATAATTTAATACTATATTCCCTTTTAGCGTGCGTACTTTGGTTCGTGAAATCGCCAGGCATTCAACGTGTTAATCCGTTTGCGTCCGGGCAGTAATTAATTGTACGACTTATGCCGTATTACCGAAATCGGAACATGTGTCACCGATTATACATAGATACTTAGTTTACCGTGTTATATGTCATTTACTCTGATTTACATACTTACTGTTCTTTCTTATTACTAATTATGGAACGTCAGAACGCAAAATGTACTACACGAATATATATTAACTTTCGTTATATCGCGTCTGAGTCCGTTCGAACCCTGAGCTAATGTCTATTATTTTTTTTTACAACCTTTATATCGTTCAATTATTTAGTTAGCATAACATTTCTTAACAATAAAAGAGAAAAATAAAACAATCAAATGTAAGTTTAAAACACATTTTAAAACATTTATATCAATTATGTAGACCTTATTATGAGTCGGGGTGAATGCAAGCGTGGTCGTCTATACGGTCGTTGGAATCGCCTGTGTTGCGAGAGTTAGTAAAATTGGAAGTCATACAAGTCACGGTCCGCGGATAATTCCGTGTTCAATAATTCGGAGCAGTCTTTTTTGCGGATTATTCCGCTTGCAGATGTAAATGGGTTAACCGTTTGTACTCGAGAGGCGACTCGCAGCCTCAATTTGGTTTGATATAGCAAAATTATAAAATTTTATATTCAATGTAAAATTTTATATAACGTAAATCAGGGATGTCTAACTTTCTCCTTTCACGCTAGTAACTAGAAAACAGCGTTCCCTCGCTACTTCTACTCAAGGAGTTGCCCGAGACTGCGTACGTGAGCAGTTCTATGTAGTGTTCAACACAAACAAGTAAAAGTAGATATGCAGAGGATAAGTTTTTGTGAGGGGAATGTCACTAGAGTGTCCGTGGGTATCGATTTAGGTACCCTTGATGTAAATATTAGGCGTGTACGGGCCGCCTAGTGTTGTCGGGTACCCGACTGTTCGAGCTGGACCGGAAAAATTCGGGTGGATTCGAGCAGGCACTCATGGGCCTGCAACACTTGGGCAACCGAAAACGTACCGGCAAATTGGTAAGTAAGTATTGCAGGGATTTCACGTTAACCAAGCCGGCGTGCAGATTAAAAGTAAAGAGGTGCAAAGGGAGACGTCCAACTCGCGGCGCTCGGCCCGGATAGTAATGGCGGTTCAGTTTCGGCACGTCTTTGTTATTGGTCGTCTGATTTCTTCATCCTGCGGTTCGACCAGTAACGAAGACGTGCTGAAACTACGTCGCCATAACTATTAGGCCCGGCACCGCGAGTGGACCTCTCCCCTTGCATCTCTTCACTTTTAACCCAAAGGCCGACTTCATTAACGTGAGATTCTTACGTCAGTTGATGATCGGCGGCGTAGCCACCATTGTGGAGAGAATTGTGTGTTAGTTGTGTACTGGAAGTATGACACCGACCGTCAACTGATCAATGACATAGTAGTCTACCCGTACGATCTCTGCCCGAATGTTACAGTAAACCACGGACGTCCGACCGAGCCCGCCCGAATTTTTCCGGCTCGACCCGAATTCTGAAATATCAGATATATACCCGTACATCCCTATGCAGTAAATATATATAAAATGTTGAAACGAAATAGTTCTATCTCTCAATTCGTATATTATTTATATTTATGTTAATTGTAAAAAATGTTATTGATATTTCAATCGTAAATAATGAATATTTCTAGCGGAAAAACTCTAGAATCCAAAGTTAACACTAGACCTATGTACGTAGTATTCAAACTGATTGTAATTTTCTGATACAAATCATGGTGAACTTGTAGATTAACACGTTAGCTAGTAGAATTACATATTTGCAACAATCAACGTTTCGTATTTTACGCAAAGAAAAGTAAATAACTTACGTATCTGTTTCTATTTAAAATTATAACGCGTAGTGTAATATGTAGCAAGGTAATGAGATCTCTGATTTAAATGTTATTTGTAATTCTGCATTGCATTTAATAAAATACTGTAACTATGAAGACTGCCAGTGAAACAAATGTTGATAGCTATGCTTGCGAGTGTGATGCAAATTTCATTATACATATCGGCAAAATTCAATGTGTCAGTACCAACAGTTTTTTGTGAATACATATAAATTAAAAGAGTCCCAGATTTTTCTATAAGGAAAAAGTTGATAAAAACATCGATTTCTACAACATATTTACAAATCATTGAAATCAGTGATAGAGTAGTTAATTTACAAGTTGACCTAAATTATAAAACTGCATTCATTGAGATTTTGATTGATACGAATCTATATTGAATGATTGATACACATTGAGATGACTGGAAAGAAATTTATTATGTTATATACTTGAGTTTAACCTGTAAATTTTCTAATAACAGGAAGGAAATTATATTTTAAGTTCATATTTAAAAATTTACATAAAATAATGAAGTTTTCTGTTAAGATTAGAAATAAGTAATGGATTCCTTTCTGCCTCTCCATGTAATATTTTAGTTTGCATATTACTCTGTCAAATTCACTTGAGAATTTCTTAGGAAAAAACCACTGTATCTTTCCAAAAATGATGAAAGAATGAAATTAGGAATGAGTCATTTTCACGTATCTGGTAGATCTATCTGGTGATAAACATTACTCACTTCCAACTTCCTCAAATTTACTTCCTACACAGTGCGGATTTTTTCGAAGCATTCTCACACTACATCTAAACTGAGTAGTGGTTCCAAAAGTGGACGATACTACCCCCTGGAGAGTGCTGAAACGAGTCAGGAGGGCAATAGTAGCCTCGAATAGCAGTATCTTTCTGTTTATTCCCTTAAAGGAGGTAAATTTCTAAGAAGCACTGGCTAATTTTTTCTAAAAAGAGGACGATAGGCCAAGTAAGCTTGGTTGATCTTGAAATTAAACGAAAACAACTAATGATGACTATCTAGTACTCATAAATTATTGTATAAACTATGAATTATAATAGACTTAAAACAACAGTAATGACCAAAACCAATTGAATGGAAAGATATTTAGTTTTCTAATGTGCACATGTACTTAATTATAAGACAGTAATACAGTAGTAAAAGTGGTAGAACCAATTAGGATTCCTTTCTTTGAGATTGGTCAGTTTTGTAATTTTTTTTAACAAAACCTTTCGCTGAAACAGTATACAACTCTCAAAGTTAACAAAACAATATTCAATAAACAAGAATAATTTATAACTTTGATGTATAACTGCTTCTAGCATTAGTCGAAAATGAATGTATTATGTCTGTTATAAAATTACTGTTGTAGTACCATCACATAATTAACCCCTTAAGGTTCAATTTTCTGATATTACGTATGTTATGGACAGTCTTAAAATTCTACCCCTGTAATAAATATTATACGTATAAAATTATTATACACTAAGAAATAGAAATTATATATAAAAATTGTTCGTCCTTTTATAGGAAATGAAATGCCGTAAAAAATCGAATTTTTACTACTTTTTCATCAGTATTTTTGAACTAAATAATATTATTTGGCCTCGAAAATACTAAATGTGAAGCGTAGTTTTCGTGACTAGTCAAATGGTTTTATAACGACCGCTTGTTAAAACTGGAAATCGCACACCTATATGCGCTCGGCACATGAAAAAAAGCAAAGTTTCTCGACTATGAATCGATACTCTACTCCGACATCTGTAACAAAGAATAATAGGAACGGTTTTTAGCAATGAGCTTATTCCTAACAATTACAAACCCTTACTAGATACACTCAGATTTCAAACTTTTCAGCAGTTAAATTCAACAATTTAAATTCAACCATTGAAACTCAAACGCAAACAATTGCAACAGAATTTCAAAAATATGTACATGTTACATTGTGTAAAATTTTGAAAATTTGAACCTTTAATAGGAACTTTTTTCGAGAATAGCGAAATTGAAAGGGTTAAGAAATGTTGCTCCAAAAAGAAGATTACTTCAAGTAATTGCGGGCATGCGTAAATTTTGAAGGGCTATTTATGCGGTACTCAAGCAAGAGTAAAGCCTTCTGAAAAAGAGAAAAAGGTGGGAAAAATAAGCTAAGGAAAAAGTAACAGAAAAAATGTTAGGTACTAAGTAAACTATCTAAGCGTAAGAAAGCTATGACTCTGCATGTGTACATAGTACGTAAATGAGAAGTTCGGCATTAATCAAGCTTGCAGAACCATAAGGAAAATTTTCTAGTAAAAAATAGAAAGTTACGTAAGAAAGGACGAAACCATAATATGTAGTAGCAATGAAAAAGCAGTCGTAATTAGTGAAGATATGCAACATTAAAAGAAGAAGAATATGATTAGTTGATTATATAAATAACTGTATTATTAATATTATTCTTTAATTATTCTTTTGTTAATTTTTTTAGATCTTCGTAATGAGAGTTGATTAGAAAGAAAGTATGGGAGGATGTAAGGAATTTAACATAACTAATCATTTTTCGACATATACCGGCAAACACACATAAAAAAAATATACGGTTCCATTTCAAAAAATGAAGGTGACCACGAATTCTCCAAAATTCTTTCCTTTAGAACAAAATTATTACTGTTCCACGATAGCACACGTTATATTGACTATCTTTTTTTAATAAAGGTTTTTCATATCCCCAAAAACAATGGAGGTAATCAAATGGTAATTCTTACTGAAACACCCTGCATATGTGTGGAATACATTATAAAATTAATATTCATATAATATAATAATATTATTATATATATATATATAAATTAATAACATTTATTAATTTAATATGATCGATTCACGCAACTTCTAATCTAATTCTTGATTAGTATCTGAATTAGTATTGAAATTTTTGTTTCATGAAGACGGAACTGGAGAAAATACACCCGGATGCTTTTGTCGTTATGTATTCTGTAATTGACAAAGCGTCCTTCCAAAGGGCCGAAGAATACCTAGAACGCCTCCACGATCAGGATTTCCTCCGAGGAAAACCAGCAATTCTAGTTGGCAATAAGGTGGACCTGGTTCGATCTAGGGTGGTTTCTTCTCAAGGTCAGTGTAGATAGACAAATTCTGTTTTCGTATAAAGTGATATTTACTTGAAAAATTAATAAGAAATATAACCTTCTATATCTTACGAAGATATATATGGAAAAAATTGATCGTATTACTCGACTACCAATATGAAAAGAATAAAATAAAAATTTCTATTACTTAGAAGTATGCCCAACTCATTCTGACAAATACAAGAAATTCTTTACATCTATTATGATAATTGTTTTTGTAAATTTATATTTTAAATATTTAAGAACTTGAAAATTAAAATATAACTTATTTAAAGGACAAAAAAGAACAGAAAATTAAGCAGTTGTCTTGATCATTGATTGAATTATAAATGGTATAGCAAATACATCATTCACTTTGGAAATTTCTGTTTATGTCACTCTATAGGAGTCTGTAGTTGTTAAAGAAAAAACTTTTTACGATAAGAACAAAAAGTTTTATTTTAGCAGATTCATAAAATCTTCGAAGATCAAACTCTAGAAAACTGAGATTAACATCAATAAATTAATAGATAAAACAGTGGCTACTGTTGGATCAAATTTTGTATTCATCATGTAAGGATTAAAATGGCAAAGCGTCATAAAAATTGTAATGGAGATTAACTATACAATAAATTGAATCTAATTTTTCGCTTCGTTAACAAATGAAAAGAAAATACTAAGTATAATTGAACTTATTTTTACTACAACCTAATAGCAATCAATTACCTTAAAGGCGGAAATTAAACTGTAACGTATGTTATGACCTACATTCTTGGTAGAAAAATGATACCTAACCGAATTACCATTAGTTGGCAGGACTTTCAAATGATTTATTGTATGATGAGTCACATTCACGCTTATGGAGCATTGTCCCAGACGATCGTTTATCAAACCTGTCATACAATAGGTATTATAGCGGAAGCGTAATGCTGTTATGGGGATCTTCCAGATATGCCATTTTAGGCTTCAATGTTTTATATATGTTTTTATAGAGCTGTAACACTACAAGAATACTCTATAACGTCATTGTTTTCAACGGTATTTGTAGTAACAACTATGACAAGCTACGAGATGAAAAATATATTACAAACTTTTTACAATAATTTTTTATTCTTTTGTTCACTGGAAATGAATAAATCAATTTTTGTTTCGTGCATGTGCAATTATGGTTACAAGTAGAATCATCTTTTCACTAAAGAATTTGTTGAAATTGCAAGTAATTACCTAAAAGAAATTAAAATTGTTGTCACATTAAGCTAGCAATAGCAATTTATGAAATAAATATTTAAAAAGGCAATCGATTCAATGGACGTTAAACAAGTTCAGAAAATTAAGTTTGGAGAAAATCGTGTTTACAACTTTACAAATGGTTTTAAGGCAAACAGCGGAGTATTTATGGCTGTTACTCTAATTTACTGTCCGAAAGATTCTTTTTTCTTCATGGAAAAAACCAAGAAGAAACTAAGGATGTTATATTTATGTTCTTTGTTTATGAGAATTTCGTCACCCGTTATTCTCAGCTTCTCTGCTTACGTGCTAGTCAAACTACTATCAATTTCCCAAGCAAATTTGCAGCAGCTGTACAAAAGATGAGAGCAGAAGACATCGAAAAAATTACCATGTTTATCCCACCAAGTATAGGGTATAGGTTTTGTTATAACATTACAGCTAAAATAAGAGATTTAGTAGAAGTAATAGAACTGCGAAATAAACATGGTGAAATGATACAGTAGAAAATTATTGGTATAGAAGGGTAATTAAATGTCCGAAACTACTGAATTTGAATACAGTTTCATTTACAGCAATATTTCATTTGTGCTTCCTCATTTTTATGTTTTATCGTTGTTATTGCTTAAATTATTTAAAAAATATTTTCATTTAATATAAATGGATGGTACAATATTAATAATACTGTAAATTTCGTTTATTTTAAATGGTATTTCCGTTAAACGATGGCATTTATATAGATAGTCTTATTTAATGTATTTCGTAACGCACGGAAAATTTTACGAAAATAAGAATAATCGTCACTATATTTCTGTGGATGCAATATTATTTCTATGAAATCGATAATTTATCTTTTCCTTGAGAACGTATTGATACGAGTTGAAGTGAGGAGAACCGGCAGAACACAATGCGTTAATAAACAAGGTTCCACCGTAGCGTTACGCCTGATACAACACGGCAAGGTGTTACAATTTGCAGGCTGTTATCGGTGATATCGATTCAGTATTATTCTAATCGCATCCCTGCGTGTACCCTTGACAACGAAGGGTGTAAATATACGCAGTCCTTTATCTAATTTTCCGCCTGGTGATCGCAGATGGCAAGTGCATGGCGTGCACTTATCGGGTGAAGTTCATCGAGGTCTCGGTCGGCATCAACCACAACGTGGACGATCTCCTGGTCGGCATTCTGAATCAAATACGTCTGAAGAACGTGCAGGGGTGCGCTGAGAACCGGGCCGCGAACGGGACCGAGGGCAGCGGCCATTGGTACAAATCCAGGGGAGTGGTGCGAGCCAGCATGAAAGCTAGACAAATGTTGACCTGGTTGTTCGGCAAGGAGGACAGCAAGTTCAAGAACTGCGAGAACCTGCACGTGCTTTAAACAGGGATGAGGATCCCTTGGTCGTACCTGAGGACGGATTGTACAGATTGAACCGATGCAATTCTCTCCAGGCGATTCGCGCGCTGAGAAATTACATCCCGAAGTGAGCACTCATTGTTCCTCGTTGCGACTTTTCGGCCAAACTTTGTTCACCGAATCGTATTCATTCTATCGCCTAACGATCCTTTCGGGATCGTTTTCTTTTTTACTGATTTTAACACTGGAACTACCGAGTGTCTGAGATGTTGCTTGAATTTCTGCTGATATTCATTACGTTAGGTAAGTGAAATTATTAATTTTCATAAATAATTTCAGATATTTAATGTATTTACAATACCAGTAATTGCAGAGTAAGGGAATTGATACTGGCCATTTTGACTGGTACGGTCGTTTTAGTGTTAAACAAATGGTAGCAGGAAAATCTAGTGAAGAAATATTTTTCGATTTGATTAAGGGGAGTTATTCAATTGTTTGATAGTTTTTTACCGGTTATTTACTCATGCTTACAGATATGCACACTTAGTAGTGGTAAATTGATTGACAAGTGATGATTGACATTTCTATTTAAATCCAACTTTTGGACGTTGGTCTACGGAAACATGAATTTTTATGAACGCCTGCTATTTAAATATAACGAATAAAGTATAACAAGTAAAGAATTTTGTAAGAGGTGATTTCAAATTAATAATTTCAATTTTGTGAGAGTAATTTGTATCTATTTCCTGTTCGACGTCAATATTACTTTTGTGTATGTATAATTTACGAAATCTGAAATCAGAATTAACAACCGGAGTTAACTAGGGTTAATAATTGCTACGTATTGGCATTCATACGTAATATCTTTTTATACTGCAATTCCAAAAATTATTACTTTATAATGTACATATAAACATTTTTATCTGTGTAATTAGTGAAACACTAAAGTTTGGCCAAAAGTTTTTAATACGCTACGCACATTGCAAAAAATACACCAAGAAGGAACAAGTGCATCCAGTTAAATTCCGTTATTTCGGAATCTTTGCAGCGGTGGCCAATTTAGTTCGATGAACTTTGATCTTTTGTATGGCCTCTTCTCGAATTTTTTATTAGTCGCTGTGCTTTCTATCTTATTATCAATAATACAGAGACATATATGCTATAAACAAGTTATTTGGTTATATCTCGTTAAGTTTATATTGTTATAGAATACATATATTAGTGTTAGGCAAAATAATAAAAAGAACAAACACGACGTAACACTGAATTTCTTTCGATTATCATAATTATGATATTAATATGCACAATATTTGTTCAAGTAAAATAATATAGCTTTTTTTTATTATACCAGAATAATAGACGAGAGTAATTTGAATACAATTGTAGATCAATGTTGGGAATCAATTGATCGAAGTTTTTCATTTGATTACTTGATCAATCGATTGATTCGATCAATTGACGAAATTTATCTACATTCGGAAAATATTAATATTATCATCAACTGCTAATCAAAAATATTAATTATTAATCTTGAATGGTCTTCAATCAAAATATAAAAAAATTTTCATCGTACTTATTATTTTGAACAATTCTTAAAGCATAAAAATGAAAAAATAATACAAAAATTTAATAATTTTTTACTTAATTATTAACCCAATTAATATTTAATTAATAATTCATTTGACGATTAAATTTCTACGTTAACTGTTAAATGCGATTACATATCAGTTGAATAAAAAATGTTATTCTTAATTGTCATTGATAATTGAATATTTCAATCGTCATAATTAATCACTGAATGATAAGTTCGAGTATCTATCAACAATTATGAACGTCATATCAATTTATCGTTGGTCGTTATATTTGTCTGACTCTCAGTTATCATTATAATGAAGTTGAAACGTGCTTCACTAAATTAAATCATGGAATAAAATTGGCCACCCTCGTCGCGAGAACGAGAAATAGGGGAAACCATGATGGTTCGTGGAAAATGTGGCGAATAAAGGTACGATCAAAGTGCCAATTACTCAAAATGAACGTGACTAACTTTTTCTTCATTAGGACTTACAAGACTTCATCGAGTAGCTGCTCGACGATTAATTTAACAATGATGAGTGTACTTTGCCGCAAATGTGAATACCCACTTGTTCTGTTCGTTATGAAATGAAAGAATCTCAAGAAAAAAATCCCACACGAAGCTTGATTAATTTGTCGAACATTTTAATCCCGTTCGGGATTACAAAAGAGGAGTTTCAAAATATAGTAGAAATTTACAATTAAAAGATTTAAATATATAATGTTTGCTGTATGAATTGTACAAAATATTGAATATTATGAGATTCTTGAACAGTTCATTACAGAAATCAAAGGAAAATCAAAAACATGTTAAGCGTGGTCTTTGTTTCCACGAAATTGTACGTCTTACTTCCGTGTACATTTCTTATCTATACAGAAAGCGAGTCGAAATTCGTGATACAAACGGGTGTAGATAATTGACATGCTTTAAAATGAATCAAAACGATAGCATAAATTTTATTCTTACGGAGATTCGTTCCGAATAAAAATGATATTGATAATTGACATATAAACTAATGAAGAGTTTTATACGAGAATAAACGAGAATTTTGTCTCTTTAATTATTCCTCTACTTTTCTCGATTTTTACCGTGTTCTGTTAATGAAAATGCGTTATATCATACTATACAAGGAAAGAAGTAGTAATGAACTATATATCAATAAATTCATTTGAAGAAATACCAATCAAGGTGTGTACATTCAATTATTTTGTTTTCAATGTTTCTTCAGAAGCGAAGTTCGATAAGAAGTTTACATTATTATGAAGCCTAAAATTATATCTTTCTTAGTTTACTATTAAAATATAGCTAATATACAGGAAGTTTCACCGGTAAATGACCAAAAATTACTATATCGTAGACGTTATGAGTAAAAATAAGGGAAAATCTTCCATACCGTTTGAAGACATTTGACTGAAAGTTTTAATTAGACTGTAGATTTTTGTGTAAAGTAAAACTTGCTTAGCTTAATCTATATAAACTAATTTTTCACTACAATGATTTTAATATGTTAACGACAGTACGAAGATGTTATAAAATTTTTCTATGTCTACCTTATATTTTTTGGTTCTACAATATTTTTCATAGATACATAAGTGTCCACAGTCTAATTACAACTAAGCAACAAAGTTTCAACATGATTAAACTCGCAATTTACATTTCGCTTTTCATATATACTGAAATGATGTGATAATAAGTTTGTATTTTTACTCTGTTTGACTAGTATGATTTTCGTAACTGGTCTAGTTGAACGAAGTTATTAAACATGAAGATACATATGTACAGACTTATTACACAACAATGTAAGAAGTATAACAGCACTATTTATTCGAAGTAATATTACTCTTTCTAAATTTATGAATCAAAATGTTATGAGTATTTCTTTTGACTCCCCTATTTTCATTTTCATCTTGATTTGTTAAACAAATGTTTCCGGGCCTGTGTTTACAAAAAAATGTTCTGTGGTTATTACTCGCAAAAAAACAAGCAATGAATAATATAAAAGTTTCATCGGAAATTATTGACGAATAACTATTATTTAAATAAATAGTAAAAATCGTGTTTTCTGTTAGTGTGTATTCGGGCAATGTCCCATCAACTATTTTTCAACTAATTGTTCGAATTAAATGAATCGGTACAAAGAATATTGCTCTGTTGCAATAACCAATCTCGAAAATAATCAACAGAAATGGTGCAGCGTAATTAAAGAATAATAATAAGAACGAGTCCTCTCATACGAAATAATGTGGAAAATGGACTCCGGACTGGGCACGAAGGAATTTAATTGGACCATAGCGAGAATTCGCGGCCGCTAAACTTAATGATGGTTATACTGTACAATAAGACCAATTTAATGTTTTTATTCGATACTGTATATAGAATAAGTTTAATGATACGGATCTGTGTACCTATTGTAAACGGAGATGCGTGTGCAAATATAAGGTTATCCACTTAACGCGGAATCCACACGCACGAAAGCAAAAACGATCAACAATGTTCATCGACATCTAAACTAGAGATCTCTATTTCACATGAGCTTAGTTCGCAAAATGTTTAATTCACATGTATACGTGCAATTCTGTTACACGTGGTCACATATACTTAAAGACATGTGTATTGATTTTGAACAGTTTTCTTTTTAAATTTCATACGATATTTATTACAATAAATAAAACGAATCTAAATACGCCATTAGTTGGATAACAAAGTAAACTGAATCAGTATTTACGAATTTTACCCGTAATTTAGTTACAAACCTTGTTTCAAAAAGTCGCAAAGCACCTTAATCATTCAATTTTAACTGACAATGAATATTACATGATAGTAGTCTACAACTTCCTAATGACATATGTAAAATATTAGACAGATACTCAATAATTTTTAATACATAATGTATTAGGTTTATATCTTTCGAAATTTATTGATAGTGAGAATGCAAATTAATGCTGAATATTGTGGTAGCAAAGTGAAATTTTTGTGTAGTGTATAAAGATCCCTAGTTTACTTCCCATTGTTAAGACATATTAGTAGCAGTAAACACATCAAAAGTCTGACAACGAGAACAATTAATAAACCCTTGTTTGTTACATTGACACTTTATACTTTATATTTTATTAAAGCAAGTTTATTTGCATTGCAGAATCTTTCTCGTGGAAAAAGTGATTTAGATGCATACAATGCATACTTTAGCATTCTTGAATAAATCAATGCTCATAATTGGTGATGTATTAATGCATGAAATCTAACGCAATCGGTCCTTTGATAAAGGTCACAATGTGTCAGAGAATAATTGCGGTAGCTTTAAAATCACACTCTTCAATTTCTAACCTGTCTACAGAATGATACATCGCAAAGTTGACAAAACAGTGTATGTTTTATAGTCGATGCATCATTTTCGCGCATAAATCTGTGACAATATGTTACAGAATTCATTTGTCATTCTCAAGAATTAATGACTATTAAAAATTTGTTAACATTTATCTACTTGCGGTTTAACTGTATAACCAAAAAATGATTTACGAATAGATCATTTTGTATTTTGCCACAGCTCTCGTAACAACCACATAAATGTTTAAAAGCTTTTTCTTATTTTCTTTGTAGTTATTACTTTATAAAACTACTTCGCCGTTAAATTATTAATATCCAAATGAAAATTTTATGATACTTAATAATAATTTACTTATCATTGCTTTTATGTTTTTACTATACTATATACGATAATTGTCACTCACCATCTTAACACTGTTACTGAAGTCAAATTATATAAAATTATAAAATAAACTAATTATTACAATAATTGGAAAATCGAATTCATGATTTTCATTTTGCTATGTACACAACCATCCTATTTTCATAATATATCTACAATAACTTAAAGTTGCATTCTCAGCATTTTTTTAAGGTAAACAGTTTTACTTTTAGTGTATGTATATATACGAGAATATTGAGTATCTACACTAAATATTTTACATGTATTATTAAGAATTTATAGACTATCATCTAGCAATAACATATTGAAATCCGGATAATTGAGTTTCTTCCCTTGTCACCGAGTGGGAGATGTGTTGTTAAATAAACTACATAATTCGTGGAATACGAAATATTATATTTCTCTATATTCCTCTGGAGAGAATAATAAAGTTTTAAAGAGATTATCTCCATGAGATAATTCTTCTTTTCGGAACAAAATTTTTTAACACGCTGACTACAAAATCACGCTGACTACAATGTCCACCGGAAATTCAGAAAAATAAAATAATTTATTTATTAAAAAAGAAATTTTAAAGTTCAGATTTACGATAGTCCTCATACATTTAATATTCGTATGCTTCGTACATCACAAGAAAATTAAGTACATCCCTACTCGGTATACCATTACAATAATTCATTTTTCAAACTGAACAAAGAATTGCTACTTATAACACAGTCGCCAAATTCACTGATAATGATTCAGTTCAAATCTCGAGAAAATATCTCGTGTCATTTCGAATAATACTATCATAGAAGAAATTCTTGAAAAGATTTAGAAGTTAAACTGTTAAACATTGTCAACTATCTACAGTGTTGCCTACGTACCATACTGTATATCGCACTTGTTTTCGCACGCGCGTATTTTGAATTAAGTGGACATCCCTTTATAACGAATACATACCACGCGAATATATTCCTGATACCCTATGATCAAATAAGTGGCTAGTTTGTATAGATGTATCTTACGGATTGACGTGTTTATTGTATTGCGTGTTTTTCGTCGAAGAACGAGTATTGTACGATGGACATATGCCCGCAATGTCCATTAAGAAGAATATATTCTTTTCGAAGTTTTCAGAGTATAAATATGGAAGATGATAAAGAAATATATATATACACTATTCACCGTCTATTTTCTGCGATCTCTACGCCTGTATATCCAAATTATGTATACATATATACATATACATATATACATATGCATGTATACACATACATGAAGATATTCGTACGTATGTACAATACCGCTCAAAAGTTTGGGATCAATTGTAATATTCGCGTCTTTTGAAAGAAAAATAAAATACACGATAATACAAATTAATGTATCTTGTTTCTACATAGTTCATACTATGATTTAACTCCAATTACATCTATTTATATAAAATACGGAGTGAAGCAAGAACGATTTTATTTTGAGGTTTATAATACAAGAAATTCTTCTAACAATAACTAATTGTTACATACCAGTCAATCAATTAAAAATAACTTTGATTTTCTAATTGGAATTAATATTTTAGTAACAAAATTTTTGGTAAAATTCTATACAATTTCTTCTATCCGCAAATAATTTAATACCATACAATTAATATTTATCTCAAACATTTGTTCATGGTTGGTGTAGTGGAAAAGATATAAAATTAATGAATTTACTATTGTTTTTAATTGTACGCACTGAATATTATTGATAATATTCAGCGAGCTGCGGAGGTTCTGAAAGCAGTGTTGTATAGACGTAGCGCGTAAGCAGCGAGTTCAGAAAATAAGAAATAACGAATAACTAACAATCATCGTGTCAATCATCCCAGGACCATTGGAATACTCTAGCGGCTTCTCGCCTATTGAAATATTAATAAAATTATATATATACATGTTGTAACTAAATGGTTTTTTCCTCGATAATGCACATACATTCAATACAAAAGAATAATTACATACACAGTTTTCTTACGATTATATAATATATAATATAATCAGACGAAGATAATGTATACTTACGTATTTTTATAACATAATCTAAGAATACGAAAAATTCTTTAAGAAAAGTGGGTATGTGGAAATACTTATTGTCCCTTTCCTCTATCCTACAGTTTTCAAAATATTCAAACATTTATTATAATTTCACTTCTAATCGCTACTATTTTATATACAAAATTTGATAGCACCATCTGCAAAATGATTAATTAATACTTAGTTATTTTATAAACTGATATTATGTTTCACGAACCTTACGTTATTTGTTAAAATATTAGCTTTAAATTAGGCCAAGATTTGTCATACGATACAATATTACCGAACATCGAAATGTGATTCCTAACTTGGTCTTCGATACTAAAGTGGAATTTTGAATATTAGAACACTAACCGATACAATTCGAATATAGGATTGTCAATCATCGAGACACTCAAATATTCGTTTCCATTTCAGTTATTCCTCTGTGTTACAAAATTTATCAAGTAAGAAAATAAAAAGATTGTGAAGGTTGCGGATAGCAAATTGATATTGCAAACAAATTAAAGGGAATAACGAAGACGAACTAAAACAACAAAATCTGGATATAATTTTAATTTTCTTCTTACACGCTCCAAAGCATTTCCTGCTTTAAAAACAGTTTTAAAATAATAGAAAGTACAGAGAGAGAATAACACTAGGTGAATTTGGACAATTTGTCTAAAATTGTCTGCAAAGAATAGCATGCAAACATTATAGACTTGTAAGAAATGGAACACCTTAAACCGAGAAAAACTATAGTTAACCAGTTTTCCAAAGTTGCTGGTATTATTAAAATAAATCCGGTTTTATATCACGTTTAAAAAATAAATACAAGAACTAATTTCATTTCGTATAAATTCGAAATGAATAATTTCATACAAATTTTAAATAGGACTGTTTTAAATGGACTGTTTCAAACATGATAATATATATTGTCTTTCGTCTAAGAGCGGATGCCAAAATATCTCCGTTACTTTTAGTAATACGAGAAACGTTTCAAACACAGAATAAATAATCAAAAGAAAAAGAATATCATTAATACAAAATTCTTTTTATGATTCTTTTCACTTTTTATTTACGTTATTGATATTTATTTGCCAGAACGCTTTTGCTGTTTTTAACACCGAGTAGTAGCTCTAGAAGTGGAATAGTTTTCGCGGCCATTTTAATATGAGGCGGTATTTATAACAGATATACAAAAAGCTTAAACTAAAATTACGTAAAATGTGATATCGAATGAAATAAATTATTAATTGGGGAAAGGCATTGAAATTTAAATACAGAGAGGATAGAAAGTTTCTGAATATAGAAACTTTCAGAAGAGGCTACTTTGTACAAGTTATTTCCATTTGCTTTAAAGGAAATCATCGCCATGAAGAATCTAAATGTAGGTACAGTTTCTTAGAAATAATTAGTAAATGTAAAGTCCAAACATGTTCATAGAAGAGTTTAAAAGTTTAAAAACTGATGGAATCATTTTTTGAGAAGAATAAAAATGTCAGAAATATGAAATTTGTATTGATTTGTAAATAGAAACGTAGATATTATATTAAGTGAATTAAGATACAAATATAGTAATAAATTACGTTGAAGAAAATATTACGCAAAATATTTCTACGATGTTTCAATATCACTTCGAGGAGCAACATTTCGAAAAACTGCTAAATTTCAGAGTGACGTTTTCCTGCAATGAAATAAAATTAATATTTTTAATGTTATTTTTAATCAACACATATGAAAAAAACATTAATTTTTTAACGCAAGTTAAAAATTGATGGCAGTTATACTTAACAACTTCACAACTTTTTCTTATTAACTCTAGGCTTACGGGCATTTATTGTTCAGTTTACTCTATTGTTCCTGGAAAATTTGATGTTCGTTTGTTTAGATCTTGGACAGTAGAAGCTGAAAAATAGATAATTAGGAAACACATGCGTGTAATTGATTTAATCGAAATCTGCGTAAACATTTACAAAATAATATTTATAAAATTCAATGTGCGTCAAATTGACACGTTCCACAAACTTAGTGTTAACTCTTTGAGTGCCATTTGTAATTACTAAAATTCTTTCGAAAATTTCCATGCACTTTTACCGAAAAATGCTTAGCATGTAGAAAATGTCTATCAAAATTTTACTATTTATATCAATGTGCTAAAACGTTTACAAGGTATAATAAACATTTTCATCCTTTGGTGGCCGTGTTATTTGCAGAAATTATCAGCATTGCTCACAGCGACGTTAACACTGTAAGGGTTAAGGAAAGATAGTACCATATTCTGTTATTTATTCCATGAAAGTACTTAAAAGTCATTTGCTTTTATATTACTTAATACATTAGTTAAAAAGTAAATGATACATACTTAAATGTCACGAGATTGGGGTTAAACCGCAATATTTAACGAGGGAGGTAGCTCTAAGATAAAATTCTAAGAATTGACAATTATTATACATATAATTCCAGCTCACGAGGTACTGCAAAAGAATGCGTGGGTGATGAAAGTGAAAAACGCTAAGAATCCAGTCCATGCACTGCAGCGGATTACTTCATGACATTTGAACGGCATTACTGCATTTCTTCGATATAGTATATAATTCACCATTTTTTTAAGGGTGCCCTTTAAACGCCTTTTCACAGCAACCTTTGGAATTTCTTATAAAGTGTTGAATAAACGTATGTACTGGAAATTTAATATACGTATTTATTAATTTTTAATTTTACATAAATATTTATGTAACATTTTATAGACATGTATTTTTACAAATCCTTAATATTACAAAAATATTTATACAATACCAAATTATTTATGAGTTGTTCTCAATTGCAGCAATCAATAAGCTCTTCGCCGTCAAAAATATATTACGGATTGTCTTATAAAGTGTTACGTATATCTTAAGAATACTCGACATTTTTAAATACTGTACGTTAGTGGAACTTGTAACTTTCATTTCGTTCTTAAACTTTTTAAAAGTCGAGGTGTTTAAATGAAGATTTCTAATATCAGAGCATTACTTCTTATATTTTATATCGTCCATCATCAATAACCGATGCGCCGCTGAACGTATTAATTAATGATATATAATTTATGTAAAAACTAATTTAATGTCCTTTGTTTTGCAAAGAAATCATTATTTCCATAAAGAATTAATTGCATAAACAAGTATTAAATTAGTTTCTGTACTTAATATTATGGACACCAATTTAAGTTGGTTAGGTTGTTATTAAAACAAGTTAAAATCTAATCAAGTCCAGATTCAAGACATCAACATAAAATTTGGAGTCTAAATTTATGTTAACGCCATCAGAGGTTCGAGAAACGAGTTACCACTGATTCATCTAACAAAAAAGGTCCTCCCTCTTTCACAGATGACGGATGCACACGGTCCCACTTTTGAGGATCTGTACTTTTTCAGTGTTAATATCTGTCGTAAATCTTATCGCGACGCTTAGTTGATAAATAACCTACGTCAGACGCATGCGTCCTGAGCATCGATTATTTTGATTGGTGCCAGATATTACCAGGCTCCAGTCGTGGCAGTTTGCTACGAAGGAAAACGAATGTCGATTTCTTGTAACCTCGAACGGCCGGATCAACGATAACAAACAATACCTCAATAAACACGAAACATATTTTATTTAAAAGGAATTGCAACGAAATGTAACTTGGTGGACATCGATGGTGTTGCTGTAAAATTGGCTGAGAAATTTTAGTTTAAAGAGGGTGAATTCGAATTTAGTCCTCATTGATTCGATGTATAGGATCATGACGATTCGAGTGAATTTTCATTTCGTTTAATTTCTTTCAATCAATTTTTTTAAGTTTTGGCATATTAACTGTGCTATGATTTTAGAGAAATATTCTTCATAACATGAGATTTTCATTCTCCAAAAAGTTTTGAAAGAATCAATGATGAATCCGAACCACTATGGCTGCTGTCAAACCAACCACCTGCAAAGAAGCCATACGCCGATGGGAAGAAGAAAATGAACAAGAAATTTCTGCAGCGAAAGAAGTTAGTCTGAGTTTTCAGTGGCCCCCTGTAGAAAGGATGGACAATGCTCTGACGATTTTGACCAGCTGTGAGAAACTTTCTTTGTCGACGAATATGATCGAGAAAATAGCAGGTGGATGTATTTTCCTTTTCTCTTTAAAAAAATTGTATTCACCTTTAATTTACTTATATTAATAACCCTCGAATTACGTTGAAAAATTGTATTTTCACTATTAGATTTTGTGTCATCAATTTAAAATTAAAATTGCTCATTCAAGCATATCTTTTAATTCAGATAAAAAAAAACTATACCTTTTAACTCAAAATACAGAATAAAATTATGTAACTTAAGGGATATTATTTATTAATTAATAGAATTATGAATGACTTTGAAACATATTTCCGCGTACAAATAATATTTGCTTGTGAGGAATAAAAATATTGTCGCGAACTTTACAATGTTTGGAATTGAGAATTTTGTCAATTTAAATATTAAATTGTATGTGATATCAAGCTTTCATTAAAATTTATGTTTCATTATATACTGTAAATACATACATTTCTCTATGGTATAAACACACCATTCTCTTCATTTGAGAAAAGATCTGTATATCTTTTCTTCCACAAACGAAAGGGGCAATAAGAAGATAGTGATAGTTCTTTCTGAAATTTTTAACCTTATTTTACGCTTTTATAAGAAATTTGATCTTCGAAATTCATTGTTCACATACAAAAGGATCAACTACAAATTACGAAAGCGGATTTCTCTTTTGCATTAAATAAAGGAAAAAGACACAAATATAATGAATAAGACAAATAATGTAACTTAAATGAGATTACATGACGAAGAACGATAAATGGACTGCAGATTGCTGGCCAACCTCTTTACTTGATACGTAATTATGCTTCAATTAATGCGACTTGATCGTCTGGAAATTCGATTAAACACGGATCTCACAATGCATTACAGATCATTAAATTAAGACGTTCGATTTCATTCGAATTCAGTTCTCTAGGATAAGTATTCTTGTAAATAATTGGTATGTCTTTCTGGAAAATCCATTATAGTCCTAAAATATCGACAAAATCTTAATCAAGTAGTCAATTTTATTATTACAAGAAATAATAAATTCTTCAAATATTGAACAGCAAAGCAATTGTGTCGTGGGAATCTTCGATAATAAGAAAACTCTAATTTCTTTAACACTATTTCAACTTTTGAGATTTTAACTTTGAGAAAATAATTTTAAGTTTAATAATTTTTCCTCAATTGAATTTCGGACATTTTTTTATAGTTAATTTTATATTCATTATTGTAAAAGTCTAAAAGTCAATTCCGAATATATGACTAAATTTGAAAAATAATTTTAAGTTCAAATTTCAGAAGGTCGTCTTTCGACACCTTCGGTAGAAATAGTGTTAACACTTTTCAGATTCATTGAGGTAGAAAAATTCAACTGTTAATGTACGATGTTACAGAAAATCTAAGAAATACGTATTAACATAAGCATTAAACCTGTTACGTTTTCACAAATATGCAGAATATTAAACAAATATTAAATGCACATATCAAAATATAAACAAATTATTTATAATATTTTAAAATAACATGTACGAACAAGTTATTTTAGACAAATTCATGTTCTTTTAGTCGAATCTCTTATCCGCAAAGTTAATCGCCAATGATCAGTAGTTAAACTGCGAAATCGTTAAAATTCTCCTATTTGATGTAGGAATAGGAACTTTGAAGAATCTAAGGATCCTATCCCTAGGTCGGAACATAATCAAAGGATTTTCTGGTCTGGAATTACTGGGGGAAACGTTGGAGGAGCTTTGGATTTCGTACAACCTTATCGAGAAAATGAAGGGAATAAATGCGATGAAAAACCTTCGTGTGCTGTACATGTCCAACAACCTGGTGAGGGAATGGAATGAATTCAATAGACTTCAAGAACTCGGAAACCTGCAGGATCTCGTTTTCGTTGGTAATCCACTGTATGAAAGTGTCGAGGTACTTTACAGTAATTTTATTCTTCCACGTATGATTTTATGCTCTCCTGAGCAATGGTAATACATTTGATGTTAATGAATAAGTTCGAACACAAAGAGAAGACCTTATTATTAATTATAATACTTCCTTTTACTAATTACCTTAATTAAAATTGAAAATTTTAATAAGTCAAGAATCTAGTAGTGATATTACATACTACTTATTATCGCATTTCATTTCCATTTTATTACACCTTGTACCAATACGCAATGTAAATCTATAAAAATCAATAATTTAATTATGCTACATTAACTTATATTTAAGCATTTATAGCATTTATACCATAAAAGCATTGGAAACTATTTTAAGGGAACAATGTGTCATTTAGACACATCAATTCTTGTGTTGCTTAGATTTTTTTCATAGAGCTGTATGAAAAAATCATATTTAAAATAAAGTCTCTGCTGCGGCAAAAAAGATACAATAATAAATAATTTTATATTTATAAAGAAATCTGTTATATCCCGTATCTGAAGATATTTAAAACGTAATGAAAACTATATAGATACTTGTTATAATATTTTAAAATCAAATATTTTGGATAGTGATAAAAAATTCTAAATTCGCGGTCTTTCTCGAACTGTTGGTGTTTATTCATTATGGATCATTTAAAATTCACGTTTAATCTTGTTTTAAATTTCGAAGTATTAATTTCAAAATTCATTTGCAGCTTTTTCTCAGCTGTCATGTGATTTAACTAATTCTAATGTTTATTCTTTTAGATAGAGCAGTGGAGGTCAGAAGTCGCCAAACGATTACCAACTTTAGAAAAGTTGGATGGCGAACCCATAATACGAACAGAAGAATGTTCAGGTGCAAATCAATTACAAAAAGTTGATAGTCCTTTACAATCAGAAACTAACGTTGTCTAACCTAATATAAGTCACAACTTTTTTCAGTATTCTAAACCTTCAATCTAAAATTTCTTTTTCGAAATTTTGTTATGAAGCTTTTACATATACATATCTATGTGTATAACATATTGATTTCATACTTTTGTTTCATATATAAATTTATGTCCTTTTGCAAATGCTTTATACATTTATATACACATGTTTTGTACATTTTACTAATGTATATTACCCAACAATATTTTCTACATTTTTATAGGAAATGTCATGCATTTACATATATTTTTATATAACAATAAAATAAATGTCAGAGAAAATAGGGAAAAAGTGAAAAGTACCGACATTAAGAACTGTAGAACGTAAAAACACTCATAGGTTGTTCAGTAAAAAGTAATATTTTTTAAAACTGATTTATAGCGCAAAATATTATTGTTTACATTTATTTTTAATCATTTATATATTAACCATTGTTTACTATGATCATTTCCTTCCCCGTAATTTTTGGTTTCCTTCTTCAATTATTTTATGTCTTGGATTAATAACAGATTCATTGTTACCGATTTTTTTACAGATTGAAAATAAAGTTTCAAATTGAAAGTTATCTATCTATATTTTCGACTTACTTCTTTAATCTTTTGTAATTTATAGGATTTCCAGTTTCTTACTCTGCAACTTGCATCAACGTTTCTTAATTTAACTGTAGTTTTAACCTTTTGTCCTGTGATTTCTTTCACAATTGTACGTGATAAAGCTACTTTATCGTTAATAATGTTGTAAAAAAAGAAAAAAGATTTTCAAAATAAATAAATGGCATTTACATTTGTCGAATTTGATTAAAAATTTTTATTACGAGTTTAACACGATGAGAGGAGGAGAGGTTAATACGGCACTATTCTATTTTATTTGAGAAATGGTATATATAAAAAAAATTAATTAATTAATCAAATGTCAAGTGTGTCTCGACATAAGGCAATAGCGTGTAGAATCACGTCTTTCTCGATTACACCATCCGCTACCAGACATTCTGTAGAATTCCTAACACTATACAGTAACACAATGTAAAATTAATTGTGTGTGTAAATAGGATAACAGTACGAAGTTTGCGGAATTACTTGAAGCGAAGTCTCCATGCTCGTAATATAACTTTGGTACAAACAGTGCTATGAATACAATTATAATGCGCGTAAAATTTTTGCAAGGAAGTTAACTTATTTGATAAATTTAAGTGTTTCACTTGTTTTCCAGCTTGTATTTCCAGATCACGATTGGGACACTAATTGCAGTATGTTTTATTGCGGCAAATACGAAGGAAACAAAATGAAGCGTACAAAGAGCAATTTATTACACCAATTGTGAAATTTAGCGGAGGAGCATTGATGGTACGAGAGTGTTTCTCGTGGTACGTGATTAGGACATTAATTCAAATCGATAGTATAATGAATGCAAGCAAATATATTGATATAATAAATGAAAATTTGAAGGAAGCCATTTTCACTCTCTGCCGGCAATATGGTTTTTCACTAATGCAGTCGGTAATATAAATTTTTTATGGTCATACCTAATTTATCATTATTATGAATTCTATAAAAATCTGACAAAATTCTAAAATATTTATTATTATGTTTATTTATTTTCCAAGCATCTTTACAATTCGTTCAGTAGAACATTTTGTAAATTTTTTTATCATGCTCAGGAGATGTATCGCGGTAATGCCTGTCCCATTGGATGACATCTTGATTATCAAACGAATGGTTTGGATGTTAAATAGCAGTTCGTAAGGATGTTTCCTTCTAAGTCTACGAGGTTGATGTGTGGAATACACATATATCTGTAACTAGTGCGTTGGCGTAACCACTCAATCTTGCACTGTATCGATAGGATAGTCGCGTTATTTCGTCTGTAATGGAGGCTATCTGCAAATCCTAGCATAGTTTGTCGTTATGTATGTACCATGGTGCGTTTACAATTGTCCTCAGGATACCCGACTGTAAGCTTTTCAGTTTGGATATATGGCTCTTTGCTGTCATTCCTCATACTTGGATGCCGTAGGTCCAAATAGATTCTACATATAATGGTTTCGTAACTAAAAATCTTGTCATGTAGGTTTAGTTTAGAATGTCTGCTAATAAGCCAGTACATTTTTCTATTTACAATTTGTATTTGTTGCGTTTTCTTATGTGATTTGTCTACGTTAACTTGGAGTCGAGGTGTAGTCCTAGGTATTTCGCACCTTTATGTGTCGCACCTTTCCTTAATGTGAAGGTGATATGATTACATTCGTTAGCGTTAATTTTACTTTTCCAGTCTTTAAACCAGGTTTAAAGACCCAGGTTTCGAGGGTCTATATGTGTTGTTGCAGTATTGCTGTCATGACCATTTTGGGGTCATTGTCAGTAGCTAATATTACTGTATTGTCTGAGAATATTAATGTGGTGATTTTCAAATTAATTGGCATATCAGCAGAGTGTACAATGTGGGTCCTAGTGCGCTACCTTGCAGTACACCAGCATTAATAGGGAATATGTCACAAATGGAATCTTGGTATTTAACGAATGTTACGTTGCCGCAACTTACGGAAAGGTTCTTCTTCCGATCGAAGGAAGAAGACAAGGCGAGAGATAATGACTATCACTTTATTTTATACAAATTGAACTTTGATGGTACAAATACTAATGGAATGATTGGATCGTTAACGTTTAGTCGTCTCGTAGCGTTCTGTCTGTCCTCGGTCCTCATCGCGTTTCAGTTTATGTAACCTCGGGTTCTTTCATATTGGTCAGATGCAGTTTTAGGTGGAGAAAAGCTGTATTTTGTTATTGGTCGTGGGTGTGTCTATTTTATTTCTTAAGGTGGGAAATTGTCGAAGTTTGGTTTCGTCTCGTTTCGTCGTTGTGGGGATTTATGATGGTAAGTCGCAAGTAGCTGTTGCGTCGCATGCGGTGACCGGGTGTTTTATGACCCAGATATGGAGGCCGTAAAAATTAAGGAGATTTCGGGAACGTCCTTACTCTCTCTGCGCTAGCTGCGTGATTGTAAATTATATTTTGGGACGCATCTTCGTCGCCTGTTTATTTACGAATACACCTCGAGTGCAACAACGAAGAAAGTTCTATTTTCGAGATATGATTTTATCATGTGAAAGATAGTCTTGGAATAATTGAATTTGATTTTTTGAAGAATTCCTTTGTACCATACTTTATCTAAAACCTTTTCAACGTCTAAAAATATAGCTGTGCAGTATTGTTTCTGTTCAAGAGCATCAGTGATCTTGTTTAATAGCCTATGTACCTGTTCGATAGTGGCATTCTTGTTTCTGAAGTCAAATTGATGTAATGGAATTAGTTCTTTTTCAATGATTATTTTCTTCGCCCTAATTAGGGATATCGCTTTCTGGTGCAAACTCTGCATTCAGTGTCAACAGGCTAAAATTTGTCACCACGTCAGGCATATTCCGGAGCATTTTACTGCACCGTACGGTCATTTCAACCAGGTTCACTTGGAGATTCTTAGACCATTATCATCGTCGGACGAGTATAGATATTGTTTGACACTTCTGGACCAATTTCGGGGATTCAAAGATTCTTGCAACGGATCAGAGTGTTCAGTTTGAATCGTGTCTGTTTACAGTATTATTGTCGCTTATTGGTTGCGACCGAATCAGGACCACCCCCCATTATCCTGCATTGAACGGCATGATGGAAGATGGTACCATGTTTTAAAAGCCGCAATCATGTACCACACGAACAAGGAATGGTCGGGAGTGTTGCATGTATTGTATGTTCAGGCCGACGCTAATGCTTCATCGACAGAATTCCTGTTCTGGACAACGCTGCAACTATCGGGCGAATTTTTCCTTCCGGAAAACCTTCCGCCGAACCCCAAAGCCTTTATTGGGAAATATAAAAAATTCATGTGAAAGGTTCGGCCGATCCCCGTATCGCACAACAATAGAAAGCTCGCATTTATGTTTAAAGAACTGCAATCCTGCACCTATGTATTCCTGCGGCAAATAGGTAAGAAAGCTTTAGAGCGTCCCTACATCGGACTGCATAAAATTGTAAAGCGTGTTTCGGACTGCGTGTAGTGTACTGATGTTACCGGTGAAATGCGTACTGTCTCAACGGAATAGTTAAAGCCAGCCTATTTTCTGATGGAAAATCGCGGGGCTCTACAGAACACCAACATCCTGATTCCGGGATGTGCGCGCAGAAAACTGTGATGTTCGCGCCAAACGTATAGCTGTAGCATTACACATATTTTAAATACCTCCATACTAGAATTACGT